AAGTTTTGACTAGGGCAGAGGGCATGGGGTCGAAGGAGCAGGTTGTAGCCTTAGCTTTTGAGACAAGTTTGGTAACCTGTTTGGCATCCACTGGTGCAAAGTAGTGTTAATTTCGTTGACTAAAACTATGACGAAACATGTTCGTCAACGACCTTTTTTTCCATGACGGAAACGAGACGATGACGAGATAGTAAATAGTAAACAATAACTGTAACGAAATCATCATGCAATATCGTTGACGAAAAGTGACGAGACGAAAATGTAGTTTACTAAATAAAAACTATGCCAAAATCTCTCTTTACTTTCGTTGACGAAATATGAGGAGACGAAATATTATCAAAGATAACGTTACATTTCTGATAGTCAGTTTTTCTCCCAGCAGTTCCATTTGCGGTGCTGCGGCTGGGCAGCAGCTATGTGTCTGTGCTGCGCGCGGCGGTACATTTGAATTACACCGGGCAGCGGCACAATATGAACTGTCTGGAAGACTCGGGTCTAACTCATGGTCTAACTAACCTTATTTAACATAAAATAAAATGGCAACAACAGGGCTTGGGAGCAGTGGTCGCACTCGCGTTAACCGAATACCCACCCGTCAGCGCGAGTGACTGATAAATTGTGCACTCGACGGGTAATAATGGATTATGACAGAAATGTTACGATCCTGTCCATCAAAATGACTGACAACGAAAAAGTCTAAAGCCACCACTGCTTGGGAGAAAGAAACAGTGTGATATTTGGGCCCATTTTCACTACAATGAGGCGGAGAAAAAAAGCGAATACATTGTTTTAAGGGAAGCAATGTGGCCATAACACAGCTGGTAAAAACACCACAAACCTGACCAGATACTCTCTGCAAAGCTGCTTTCTTAATCATTCATCCTGTGTTTTTCATCAAATAAGGACAAGATATAATCTTATTTATTTATATACTAAAATGACAAACTATTGGTTTTGGCTAGACTAGTTTGACTGAAATGTTCTATATAATCTGATGACTAAAAAAGACTCAACAGTTTTCATTGACAAAAAGTAGACTAAAATAATTAGTTTTCTTTGACTAAAATAAGACTAAAATGCTCAGACTTTTAGTCGAATAAAACTTGACTAAAATAGTTACTGTTTTAGTTGACTAAAATAAGACTAAAATGCTCAGACTTTTAGTCGACTAAAACTTGACTAAATAAAAACAGGATGAAGGTGACTAAATATGACTAAAACGAAAAAGGAAATTTAACACAGGACTAAGACTAAAACTAAATAAAAAAATAGCTGACGAAATTAACACTAGTTTAGGGGTGATGTATCAGAGTACCACTTTGTAGAGATTTTTATTATTGAAGGTTGTACAACATGATAAAAATGGAACACTAAGTCCATGTAAATCTTTGATGCTGCTCCACAGATATTATCATCTCAACAAGAGAGGACGTGTTGTGAACTGCCCGTACGTAGACAACTCCTACAAGTGGGCAGGGGGTGGTTTCCTGTCCACCGTGGGGGACCTGCTGCTGTTCGGTAACGCTCTGCTTTTCAGCTACCAGACGGCCCACCTGAAAGACACTGAGGGCTTGCTCCCTGGCTTCCTCAAACCTAATACTGCTATAGATCTGTGGGCACCAGCTGACAGGACAGAGGCCAGCTGGGACAAAGATGGATTGTATGCTCAAGGCTGGCTGGTAGTGGAGAAACTACAGAAGTACGGCCAGTGCAGGAAGCGCAGACACTACGTTTCACACACAGGAGGCGCTGTGGGGGCTAGCAGTGTCCTCCTGGTGCTACCCAGTGAGGAGAAAGATGAGCACCAAGGACAGACCACTCCTCTCCCAAAGGGGGTGGTGGTCACCATCATCGCTAACATGCAGTCTGTGGGACTCAACGGCACAGCACTGAAAATTGCGCATGAGTTTGACAAAGCCAAAAGAGAGTAAGTTGTTTACAGACATGCAGGAGTTTATATTTCACCGAAAAGTATTCAAAACCATACATGACATTTTAATAACTCTATAAAAAACAGTTCACAGGATGTTATAGAAATTAAATAAATATTAAGCTTGTATTTTCTATACCTTTTTACTTTCCATTGCATCACTTACAAATATGTCAAGTTGCCACTAGGTGGAAGCAGTTTCCTATGTGCCATAGCAATAGACCTCACTGGCTCGTGGTTTAAGTTTGTTGGCCTAATACAAGGGTTTATGTATATCTATCTTTTAAAAACTAACACAAAGATATGTAAATATATATTTTTCTGCATTTGAAGCGAAAATAACAACCTTTCACAATGGAAAGAGACCGTTGGCCATTTAAAGTACCATGGTCCGCCGCAAAAATCTCCATGTTACACGTAGTGATTTTTTGGGTCCATCCTGAACAGATATTTCCCCATAACAACTTCAAATGCTTTAGGAAAAACCCTGTTGTGTGTTGACCTAAAACTCTTATCAAAAGGGATTTTACTCACTGCGAAGTGTTAAAATTGACTTCAATCACAAGTACAATCCCGACCGTGTCTTTGAAGAAAATGGACAGTTCCCGGTTTCAATGCCTGTATAAGTGTGCTGCAAAACTAGTTTATAAATGATGTTGAGAATTTTACCAAAACATACATTTAGTTTTTTTCTTTCACATTTTGTTGTTAGCAGCTGTAGATAAAACTGGAGGTCCATCAATATTGAAAGACTAACAAACTATTGGCAAAGCAGTCCAACAAGTTTTATTTATCTCCTAACCTCACTGAATTAAGGCAGGTTTGATGCATCAATTATCATTTGGCTTGGGATGCACTACTTACACAGACATCCAAATAATGTGTCACTAAGTTTGGTGTGTGTGTGTGTGTGTGTGTGTGTGTGTGTGTGTGTGTGTGTGTGTGTGTGTGTGTGTGTGTGTGTGTGTGTGTGTGTGTGTGTGTGTGTGTGTGTGTGTGTGTGTGTGTGTGTGTGTGTGTGTGTGTGTGTGTGTTTCCTGCACAAACACACACAAAGAAATGTGGGATTTAAAACTGCAGAGTAAACCCTTTTTTAAAGTGAGGTCATCCTGACCAGTACTGGCTGTTTCAGGGGTAATTATGGTTTAGGGTTAAGATCACATTTAGGATTAGGTTAAGAATAGCCTTAAGGTTGAGGTTAGGAATGAAGTACTGATGATTCGGGTCATCGTATGGAGAATGACTAGGTGTGTGTGTGTGTGTGTGTGTGTGTGTGTGTGTGTGTGTGTGTGTGTGTGTGTGTGTGTGTGTGTGTGTGTGTGTGTGTGTGTGTGTGTGTGTGTGTGTGTGTGTGTGAAAACAGAAATCACAAATCACACAGTCAATTCAATAGGGGTCATTGCATATATTTACACAATTGCAATATATTTACTAACTGCATACTGAGCGTATTCATTACTTGATACAAGGGGTCATTTCATAAATCCATATTTCAAGCTCATATTTTACATAGTCCAACTATGCTTTGTAAATACATTTCAGGCTAAGTACATAGATTGAAATGTGATTCAACACGAGTAACACCAGTGGCAACTTTCATAGCGGTGCTGAAAAAATCTACTGTGCAAGATGTGATTCAATTCCCACCTTCTCACACTTGTTTCACACCCTGTTTGTGTATGTGTGTGTCTGTGTGTTGAAGAATTCCACCTCTCTGTAGCAAACAGCATGGACTCCAGATATCTCAGGTGACCATTGATCCGCTCTTCACCTTGACTTTAGTTAAGGTCAGAGAAGCAGTTTTTCCTTTGTTCTTTTGGTCTTATAGTGGCACCCAAAACAGTATCATCTCTGAGAAGTCCTTCATTATCCCACCCGACACACAGCCCAAAGACAAACAAATTTGCTCCAGAAGAAAGTCAAACTCTGGGCTTTACTTTCCAATATTCTGTCTTGGGCTTGTTCTGTTGGCTCTGTTGCTTGGCTTTCAACATCCTATGTGAGGACATAATGGATGGTTATAATCTTTAAAAGAAAACATTCTGGCTTAAATACAATCATAGCAAATACTGTATAACAAAAAAAACTATTCCACGTCTCAGTGATATTTTTAGATGCCGTGAGAACGTTTTGCAATCATACATCCATACTGTACTTACTTGCGGGTGTAGTAGATCACAACAGCTATCACCACTAAGAGGAAGAGGACAACGATGACCACGGCTGCGATTAACCCCGCTTCCCCTGCTTTGCCGGAACTGCTGAAGAGCTGGAACTGCTCACATCGGCTGCCTTTATAATTTTCATTGCAACTGATTTAGGAAAAAAACATAGGGAGACTGTCAGCACTTAGGAAAAGTATCGACAATAATACCATTTTCTAACAACAGATTTTCCAACATGAAATAGAAGTCATTCTTACATCCAAGATAAGATTCATTCAACTTACACACAGGAGAGAGTATTCATGGCATCACGTATTTTATAGCACGTCCCTCTATTCATGCAATAGGTGGCTTCCTGCCCATCACAAGGTGTTCCATGATCTACACAGACATAATTACATCATTTCAGGTAAAATAGCTTTAATAGATCTCAATAGTCACTCTTTTAGAAGATGTGTTGTTTGTTCTGATCAGTTTTTTGTTATTTTATTACCTGCCATCATTTGGAATGCTTTTTATCACTGTTTCCTGAGAACACAAGAAACATATGTCTCAGAAAATAAAGTAACCACTTAGAAAAGCATGAAATGCATATATAAATATACTAGCAGTTTCTTGAAGCTAAATTACATCATTATCTTATTGCGTTATGAGTGGAATATATCATCACCCTGACTGAAAATGAATCAAGAAATATGTTCTTACCAGCTCCTTAAAGTCTTGTTAGTCAGTGCAGGTTCCTGAGGTGATTCATAGTGACGCTTCACAATAGCTCCTAACTGCTTTTTGTTGGACTTCTGAAGACGATGTTATGTGGGTGTGATCCTCCCTTGGCTTAAAAATGTTGTGATAGCAGTTTGTCCACATTGTAAATGGCAAGCCAAATGTCAGTGAGTGTCATAAGTGATGTCATTTAATGGCATGTGAGCAATACATACAGACTCACCAGAGGCCTAAAGAAGCCTCACAGGAGTCGGTTTGACATCTTTGTTTCAGGTTAAAACTGAGTACATTACATTTCATTTTTGTTCTCTGAGGTTTAGTTGCATCAGATCAGGCAGAGGATCGCTGATTAAATCATTTGTTGTGAATATGAGCTCAGCGTGTTTGGGTTTAAGAAACAGCTGAATGACTGGTATGTAAAGAAGGCATGAATGGAATCGTGGGAACTTTTTTAAAACAACCTTCAGACAGACAATTACAGTTGGGCGCTCAGAACCGTTAGTTGATTCATCAGCTAATCATTTTGAATTGTTCACTAATACTATACATTCCAGTGACCAGAAGTAAAAATAGCAACACCAAGGTATTAAGTTAAACTATTATAAGTAAAAGTCCTGCATTAGTAATAAGTAAATGTATTGTGACAACAAGGTATTGGAAACAATATATACTTCAACTAAAAAAACTAAACGTTTCATGATGCAACGCATGCTTATCTCATTGTTATATTATTGGATCATTATTGTTGATGTATTTATATGCGAGAAGTAAACAGATGTTTTTGTTTGTCAATATGCAGCCTATTTTAGTTATATAGTTAAATCTCTTTAACAATGGATACTATTGAATGAACTGTTCCATCTAAAATCTTGATTAAAAACTAACAAATAACCACAGCCTTTAAATAAATGTAGTGTTTTATTATTACAGATTACCATATAATGCAAATACTTATATAAAGTTTCAGTATTTCAAAAACGTAGTTAAGTACATTTCTTGAGTAAATGGCCATTGCTGTTTTCTTGGTAACACATAGTGTTGTTTTGAGATATTGTGCAATCAGGGCTACACTCAAAATAATTATTTGTTAAACCAACATGATTTAATTACGTGACAAAATTCCACGCAATTACATTATGTCACTCTAATTTAAATGAAATACATAATACATGATTCACTGTTGTTAACCCAACACATGTTTATCTCATTCATCTAATGTAAAATAAATACTTCAGGTTGACATATTTGACTTTAGTGAGGCTTTTTTTTTTTGTGTGTTATTCAAACTAATGACTACATTAAAGTAAAAAAAAAAAATCAATAACTACGCTTTAGTTATAAGAAACTAAATAACAATAACTTATGGGTTGGTAGGTTGGTAAATAGGATGTTGTCCGGTGTTTGTCACAAGCATCCATCTTAACTCCAAAGTCCAACACAAAGATACCTTGATGGACCACTTACCCTCCTGAAAACATCTGTGGGAAATCTGGACCAAAATTCATGTCTTTAGTTATTAACATTGCCAACTGTAGACTACACTATTGTACACATTCTTTACCACACATGAATAAACAAAAGTAATAAGTGTGTATAACTGCAGACATGATGTTTATTTGATAGTGAGAATCTCATCTAGCATACAGTAAATGGATGAATTATTTACCTCACTGCATTGTAACCAAACAGAGAAGTTTTTTTTTAACATCCTGGCAGCCCAAAATATTCTGCATTTTAATACAACGGATTTCTGAATCATCTGTAAATGAATGCCAATATGCAACGTATTAACCATCTATAAAGAGTATCTATGCATTGCTAGCATATTTTAATATCACTGACAACACAGTTGCCAACTTGCCATCGTTTCTCCTCTTCCCCTTTCTCGGTGTTTCCGGGCCCTATGCCTGCGCTACATTTTTAGGATGCAATGATATAATGTCAGCAGGGCTACGTGGTAATATCGGTGACATTGCATCCTGATAAATAGCATTAAATATATCAGTTAACACATCACAGAAACACTTGAGGTCACTGTCAGAGTAGTGGTGGGGTTTTGTTTTCGTGCGGGTGGGTTGTTATCGCGAGGAACTCTGAAAGCTCAAGAGGTGAAGTGAAGCGAGAGTGTTTTTCTACTTCGACGGTGGCATAGAAAGAGGGATGTCTGCAGGCTCCCATGGTTTGATAGGAATATATAGGCTACTACATAATATGTGATATTATTGTGTGTGTACATCTCGCCCTGTTTCCTCTGCGGTCACGGCGTTGTTTGACACATCTGTAGCCGCTGGAATCCCGTGTTCAGCCCCTGGACAGTTCCTGATCGAGAACCTCTTCTTATTATTATCGGGCACATGGAGTCCTTGGTGTGAGTGTGGGGGGAAGCCCTGCCAGAACATCATGCCTCCCTCCCGAGAAGGGGTTATCTTGCTGATCCAGTGACAGCCTCGTCGTCTCCGCTGAAGGATGCAGCTTTCAGTCCGGAGGAGGTGTTTTCGTGCTGCGCTGTCTTCTGAGAGGCGATACGGGTGCTGCTCGGCCAACGCAGATTTGAGGGGAATCGCAGCCTACACACAGCAAGATCCGAGCATCCTTCACACTGATCATCATCATAACCATCATCGGCGAGAAGGGAGATATTACCATCATCACCGCGAGGGCAAAGGAGTCACGACCACTTACACAATGTAGAAAACATAAGAGGTTAGTGCGTCTTGTGTTTTCGAGTCAGTGTGGATTTAAAGCACGCTGTTGATGCATTTTGTGTTGGTTTGAACAAAAAGAAGACTGTGTGGCCTCCGTGGGAAAATGTTAACATCTCTATAACTGTTTATGTAGCTACGACGTGGTGTGGGAATTATTGCAAGTGCTTCTTGATTAGGTGAATTGCAGAAAGCATGGACACAGATGGTCCACAGTGCGTGTGTTATTATATGAAATAGTAAAATAGCTGCCTTGTGGACAGCCACCTCTACTGATGGAGCACTTGACTGTAGCCTGTACTTATATTAATAAGAGGCAGCTCAAGATGTTGATTGTTATTCAATCTCCCTGATTTATGTTCAGGTCCAGAAATACTTTGCATTAAATCACAGACAGAAACAAATGCTCGATCCTTCATCCACAGTGATTCCTTGCAGAAAGTGAAGCATCTTGTGTTCTGGCTGTGTGACTTTCTGATAGCCAAATCAATATCGTTTTTGTTTTATTATAAATACCACATGTTCACTTGTGCTGCAGTGAAACAGTATCACTCTCAGTCAGTGGATGACCTGGGTTAATTTATCCTGAGTAGCATTTAATCTGCTGTGCTTCAGTACATTACTCTTCTGTGGTCTGCTGCAGCTGCTGACTCCGTCCACTGCTGGAGATGTTTGCTCTGTTGCTATCCCAATTCCATGAAATATTGTGAAAATTGAAACAACAATGCAAAAATATAATCATTGCAGTTATTTACATCTCCTGGGAGGATCATGTAAGTGTTACTTTAACTTTGCAATACTCGGAACTCTTTTTTTATAGTGGACGTTTCCTGTTAAAGCAGTGCTATGATTGTGTCCTCCCTGTGTGCTCATTCCATGTCTGTCCCTGCAAAGCAGCTGGAGAGAGTTTTCAGTGAGCGGACCTGGACATCAATGGCTCTCTATCCGGTGGCACAAAGAGCATAGCATCCTGCTTTACTTGCTATGCAAGAGGTGTGAGGTTCTCAGCTCCTGATCCACAGAGCGGAGCGTATATTGAAGGAAATTTAAAATCTATTACAGTTTGGTGCTGCCCAGGAAAATAGTTGAACAGAGCATATCTAAAGCTGAAGTCAGGACGTGGCGCCTTCAGGAAAGGCACAAGCACTAATACTTCATTGATCATTTTAAACTGCACTTGTGTTATTATATTAAACTCTAGATTATTTTATTATCTTGGAAACAGCAGTTGGCAAAAGGTGTTCCCATTATATATTTTGCTCTCCCTCAGCAGATGGACGTTGCCCATTATTTGCTTCATGATTTAATTTTTCTGCAGTAATTAAACTGTTCTTTCATATTTGCTATAGGTTTGGAAGGAGCCAAGGAGTGGTGAAATCACATTTCACACTTTGGGTCATTTAGTGTGGACGTCTATCTTCAACATAGGACCTCAACATGAGCAACCCCCAGTAAGTATAACACCAGCCAGAACCTTGTTTGTTACATATCTGATAGAGTGTACATTCTGAAATATCTGTTAAAGAACAGGCAGTCTCAGCGTAGTAAGGTATGCTTATCAGAATGGGACCTCCTGTGAATGACTTTGAACAGGGATCAGCTGGAAAGCGGAGCCTGGCCTCGTCCTGCTCCTCAGATTGAGCGAGAGAGCGGCCTTCCATCTCCTGTCTCCGCTGGCATCTCTTAGCATTCAGCAGGGATATTCACTTGTCATCTTCTCTTATTAATAATTACTCTGTGTGTGGTCCTCCAGACAGCCCCCTACATTCTGATGACAGCCAGGGTTGGGGCTAAGAGAATGGGGAAGAAGGAGCAGGGGGAATGGAGTGTAGTGGGAGGAGGTGGAGTGGAGTGGAGTGGAAGGTAAAAGCAAAATGGGTTCAGTCAGCTGCATCTTCTGGTTAAAGGCACAGGATGCTGCTTCAAACTAGCACATCTCTGTCCCGGCCTCAGACCAGAACATTAGTGCAGATGTTGTGTTTTGTTGGTGTAAAACATCTGTAACCAGAAATAGAGCGGTTAGTACAAAGGCATGATCCAATGATGCTAGTGACTCTCTATGAAGTGACAGATGGGAAACTCTCGTGCAAAGAGAGATTTTTTAGGACTTATTTTCACGCCTGCTCTCTTGACTTGATGCTGCTGTAAATCCGCCTTCTTTCTCTCCTGCACACTCTCTCTCTCTCCCTTTCTCTCTCTCTCTCTTTCCTTAGCCATGTAGCATCTTTGCTGTGGAAACAGTGGGAGGTAGGATAGGGAAAATATTAGATGATCAAATACAACAAATTCAAAAGGATTAATTTAGCAAATTTCACGTAACAATTTAGGGGAAAAACACTGTTACATCTTCTGAACCGTCATCATTTACATTAAAAACAGATTGGTAAATGCACGTCTCTGAAGAAATGATTCAGAAACACTGATGAGGCAGTGCTCTTACTGTTTGGCCTGAGAGCTGTTCTTTATTTCTCGTTCAGCGCACAAAGCCAACATCACACACCCAGTGGCTTTGAAACGGGTCAGCTAACATTTACTGCAACTAACCTCCGAGTCCTGATCCAATGCCCCGCTGCTCTCTAATTTCTCTATAATGAGTCCTCTCTGCAATCACTAGAATAAAGACTGCTGATTAGCTCGTCACTGCTGAGCAGCTATTTCTATTTCTAATTGTGTCATTCAGATGTTTTTATCTTCTGTGTTAACATTAGGGATTGCAGTTATGACACATTTACTGAAGAAATATATGAATCATCCATTTTTATGATAAAATCTGTGTTAATGTTGCTTGGTTTCTAGTATAATAAGAAGCATTGGATGCTATACACTACATTTCCAGTATGCTGTAAATAGGTTAATGTGTAGTGTGTCATAGTGTAGAGTTTTAGAATTATTCAGCGGGAGTTTCTAAAATCATTAAATCGTTAAGTATTATTTAGTGATTTCCTTTTCTAGAATAAAAAAAAAAGTGATTAGGCACTACCTATACTTTTTGTCTGTGTAGCCAAAACCTGATACTGTATATTGTACTAGTCTTATTCCTCTGTGCAGTGGACTTCCTTTGTTGTCCAAAGGCTATTAAAAACACATCAATGAGCCACACTGTTGCTCAGGATGACTTGTTCCTTGCTGCCTGTTAATAGAGGTGATATGGACATAAAAGACTCCAAAGAACAATAAAAGACCATTCACTCTGTTGATGCAGTTGAATTGTGAACTGCTGTAATTTCCCCTTAGGCCCTCCAAAGCCTCCGAAAGATGCTGCTTGGAAATCTGGAAGAGGTCCACATAAGTGATTTGGCACTTTGGCCCGCTTCCTTGATAATACCAGGGCAGTGACTGCTGTGCAGCGAAGAGTAGCCAAGTGTCCGTATACAAACGTATTGGGTAAGACAGAGCGGATGGGTTGTAGACAGTTGGCCAGAAATACTTGTGGCAGTGAGCACTCAGAATGACAATGATACCAATGCCCTCTGCAAACCACAAGTTCATGCTGAGGCAGCACTTTAACATCCACTGATGTGACAAGAGGAGAAAATATATCCTCAGAATAGGTGATTTCAGATATAATGTGACAGGCATCAGTTTTACCCCTTATCACCTTGATCAAATATATATTTGTTATGCTCTGCTTGGTTGTTGTCATGTTTTGAATGCAGTGAATAATAATGACCATAACCTGTCAATGTGTAATTTCACCTTTTTAAATGTTTTGTATCTATGGAGAGTTGTAAAGCTGCTGTCTAGGAACCAAGGCCGGATTAACCATATGGGCAACATGGGCAAGTGCCCAGGGGCCCTTGAGCAAAGAAGGCCCTCAGTGACAAGATAAAAAAAAAAAAAATCTTTTTTTTTTTTCTTTTTCCGGGCACAACCTCTCTCATCATACATTGTTTTAAATGACACTCACTCTTCGCCATAAATAACACAGCTTTTCCATAGGGTCAAAT